TGCTGTGTGATGTGACTCTAGATATGATGTTCTCCTTCATCTTCCCCGGCCCCAGGGAGGGGGTGAGGGGTGTAGTTCCCCAGATCCTCCTTCTGACCCTTCTTGTAGATGGGTGTCGCGTTAGCTAACTTCCAGTCAGCTGGGACCTCCCTGGTTGACCAGGACTGCTGGTAAATGATGGAAAGTGGCTTGGCAAGCTCCTCCGCCAGCTCTCTCAGTATTCTCGGGTAGCCATCTGGCCCCATAGACTTGTATCATGGAGCAGTGACACTCAGCTTTAGCCAAGATACCCACGTCATCCAATAACAATCATATGCCAAGAGCTGAGTCTGAGAAGAAGATGCCAGGAGGTGGAAAGTAAGTATAATGTCTTTCAGATTAAGGAAAGAGAGGCAGCTTTATTGGAGTAACATGAACAGATGATTATGCAAGCCCAGTCTCTAATGGATTCTTTTAATCCCCCTTTTTGGAATCTAGAAATGGTGGGCTTAAGTATTAGTGTACAGAATAGATACACAAGTAGGCTTTTATTCCAGTCTCCTAAAAAGTACAGCAGAAACCTGATGTTTTGTAAACTGAAATAACAGAGGAGCAATAAGATCAGAAATTTTCTGATTGTTTTCTTATCCTAGTTCAAGTATGATCCTTAATAGTCTTCCTGCAGTATCCTGTGGATATTTCTGCACATATATATTGGGTGTTCAATAGATGTTTGTCTAAGGTTTATAGTATTAAGCTGTCTCAGATTTGTGGATGGGGAGATGATTTCTTATCAAAAAGACTGTCCTTCCAAAGGCCACTCAAAAGTTTCAGATGTGATGTAGTTAATCGAAAATTAAGACTGTTTTATGCATCTGAGTTATCAGCACCTAGCTGAAGTTTACTTACTTCCTAAAAGAAATGAGGCAACGATTTTATGTTCTTTGATGCCAGCTACAATTCTACACTATCTTGACTGAGTTCAGTATGGAAAACTGATTCAAAGGAATACAGTCTGGCTAATACTTTGTTTTATACCTTTAAACATAGAAGGTTTGTTAGATTAAATTAATTTAACTTCTGTAACCCTTCTTGTTTTTTCTTGACTGTATAACTGAAGTATGCGTGGCTTAAGAAAGAGCAGACTAACAGTAGAATAGATACTCATGCATATGTTCCTTTTCTGTCTGAATAGATCTTTTAATGATCACATCTTATTCAGTGTAAAATGCAGTAAAAGATGAAATGACTGAATGAAAGTATTAGAAGGGTAGTTTCAGAATGGTGTTAATTCTTTCAGTAGAGTTGCTTCTTAAATTAACATTGACTTTTTTGCCTGAAATACTTTAGTTCAATTTGGACTAAAAACAGATGGTGAATGATTGTTTTAAGAACTGGATTTAATATCCGTTGCCATTTTCTCATTCATGACCTAAATGAGAATAGGTATGAACTGAAACTACTTTGTATAAAACTTCCCGCAGAGTAAGCCAGCATAAGTTCCATCCACCTTTCTTCCCAGTGTAGGTAATAAACCTCTACTTTGGTATATGTGTGTTAGTGACTAAAGCACTGGACTGCAATGGCAACAGCTCTCAACTTTATTCCTCTGTACTGTTAATCTCCTCCAATTTTTTCTCAATGTCATGGCTGATTTGTGCTTTGTTGGTTTGTCAGCAAAGTTAGGATTTTTTTGGCTCTTCTTGGCTATGCGTACACACAGTAATAGAAGTATTGTGAAGCTACTTATTTCAGCTCTTTATACATCTGAGCTTCTGGGGTTCATTGAGATTTATGCAGAGAGGTTTTCTGGTATTGTGAATTATGAAGATGTAGAAGTGACTCAAAAATCCAGGAGATGAAAAGTTAAGCAAAATAATAACAATAATAACATTCTAAGCTGCAAAGGCTGTATGTTTAACAACATGGTTTGTTTGTTTTGTTTGTTTGTTCAGTTTTTTTTAAGAAAAGGTGTACTCTTTTTAAAAGTAGTCATCTGGACTGGAAACTTGTATTGGAAAATAAGGAATGCTGGAGTTTTCACATAACTGTCTTGGAGTGGTGAACATGAGAAAAATTACAATTGGCTTGCCCTGAAGAGTGAGAGTGGACAATGTTGATGGCTTTGAATGCTCGTATAATGCTGGGTTATAAACAAAGCCTAACTAGTATAAGTTTTGTGTTATGTTTCTGAAGGCTCAACCATCCCTGTTGGATTTCTGCATGTGTTATCATAGCACCATTAAAGCACTCTGACACCAAAATTGTGGTAAGGACTTGACACCACAGACATGTTGCAGTGCTTCTTCTATTCAGTTACAATATGTAGACTACTTCTGAAAATAAGTGTTCTCTGTTGTATGTGCAAGCCTTTGTAAAGGAAAGAGAAGACATGCCAAAAAATTTGGTTTATTCTTGTTTTAGAAAAAAAGTTAACTGCTGCACATTAATGTGTTATGGGGCGTATTTTGAACTTGGGGGACATACTGTTTTGCATCATCATTGATATGAATCAAACATCTGAGTATTATGCTGATAAACAGTCTTTCTAAATACCTTTTTCAGTGCCAAGTATGATAATGCTGTAAAATTATTAGTGACTAACTTCAGCATTTTGTATGTTTATACCTTTGTTTTCTTTTGGTTTTTCCAGTTTTTGTGTTTCAGTGACTAGGTTAGGTAAGTTGTGTTCTGGCTTCAAGCTGCTTTTTTAATTTGATTATGAGTACTTGGTTTTACAGATCTCTTTATCAGTGGGCCTTTCTGTGATAGGATTTTCAGCCTTAGACAAATCAGTTCAGGACTTTTGGCATTCTGTCATCCCCAAGTACTTTAAAGTCATCTCAATAAAAATAAAATATGATCAAGTCTTGATGGACTCTTCAGACTTTCTTATCTCAAATGAAGCTTTTCAGAACATTAATGGAGAAGAATGCATCAAGAGATCAGAACAAGAAATATTGAACTAAGTCTTAAATAATTTTTTCACATAATAAATAGAAGTAGTAGTATTACACTAGAATTTTCCTAGTGTTAGTGGAGGAAAAAGAAGCAAACTAACAAAACTGTAAATGTGAGATGTTTTAATCAGAACATACTGAGAACAAATTACCTTTGCTGTTCCTTTTTAGGTCTAGTGTTGGCCCTTCTAGAAAGGGAGCTGGGTAATCCTGTGAAATCTGATACATTCTGTCAGTGGAGTTAACAGTGTGCAGGCAACAATCTTATCTGAGTAATAACGTTCTAGTGTTTGCATATGTCTAGTACAGTCTTTACAGCATTCTGTTTTATTTATTAGTGTTTAAGTGCCTAGAAAACCTAATTAAGGTAGTAAGAACAGTGTGATATCTGATACTATGTGTATTTTTATTTTGAGTGTCTTTGGGCTTTTCAAATGATAGTGATTTGCATTTTCTTGTGTAAAATGTCAGCACTGAAGATATATACCAGCTCCATTTGAGGCAAATGTATGTGCAATATGGCTTTATAGTGGAAATATAATGTCCATTTCCTTTGTTAGGAAATCAACTCTGCTTGGGCTGGTACAGTCTAAGTTGTATTTGACTACCTGTGGTCCTAAAGGGCTATCTTTGCGCTTGGCCTGATGCCCTGGAAATGTTGTTGTTTTTGAGAACCTGAAGAGTTGTGCTTCTGCAACTGTTTCAGAGACTGTAGGAGGAGCCCTTCATTAGGTGGTTAAGTTAACATGATTGACATGCCTTTATCTGCCAAAGCATCAGAGATATTTTGACTGTGATACAGATATCCTTTTGTTTTAAAAGGAACATCTAGAATAGATTGGCCTTATCCAATCTAATTTGGTTATATTTGTATTAGACTATATTTATCTTTTAGTAAGATTACTGTTCAAATGTTCTTTGAAACAGTAATTTACATACCACATAAATGCTATCACTTTCTTGGTGGACAGACTTGTTATTTGGCACCAGTTATGTTAAAATAGACAAACTTAGAGGTGGAAGTTAGTGGAAAACACATGTTACCTTTTTCAAAAAGAAGTAATGGGGCACTGCTATTGTTGTGGGTTTTTGGTCTCATTCTGTTCCCTGAGCTTCTGAATTTACAAGCTTGTGTTTTAAAAAGTAACACTGCTAGCTACAGGGTAGATACCTCAAAGTACATCTGCTCAGTATGTCCAGCAAAATTTTCAGGCTCTGTTCGCAAAGATTAGGCATCCATATTTGTTTTCAGTAGCTAGTGTGACTTTATTCTTGGAGGTACTCAGTAGTCTGTAACTTGCTTACTTTGATTTCTGAATGCTAACTTTAGATGTATGGGATTTCAGGGCATAACTTAATATTCCTCACCTTATAATAGCAATTATAATTTTAGTTATGAGTCATCTTATTAATAGTAGGAATAAAATGGGATATTTTCTTGATGAAGTGTCATTAATATAATATGCCTGAAAATTTCACATCTACCATTTTTAGTCATATTAGTCTAGACAGCACAATATGTAACTTAATGTTCTCATTGCCTTAAATTTAGGTGGAAGAAGGAAGCAAAAATGTACGCTTAGGTTCACTAATTGGTCTGCTGGTAGAGGAAGGACAGGACTGGAAGCAAGTTGAAATACCAGCTGATCGTAGTGACCCATCTTCTCTGGCTCCACCAGCACCTGTGCTTACCTCAACTCCAGGAGGTCCTTCAGTTTCAGCCCCTCCTAAACTGGAACATCAACCTGGAAAATTGCAGTAAGTTTAGATATTTGTTATGAAATGGAACTCTTATTTAGTTAGATCAGTAGAGCTGAACCAAGAAGAATCTTTTGTCTGTTTTTACTTAGAATTAAACTGTTAGTTTAAGAAAGTGTTTCAGTATGTGTGAGGTAATAGAGCTTGCCTGCCCAGAATATTTCTTTGCTTGTAAGCCTAATAAGTCAATTCGAACAACATAGTTTTATTAAAGCACCTTCTATGGATGTGCCTTTACTATGACATACAAATGCTTTATGAAGGATTCTAAGCTTAGATTAGGAAGAAGTTGTGTTTATATATGATGGACACTAATGCTTATGCATCAGATGCTCAATTTACCTATAACTTGTTTTCTGTTTCTTTTTTAGGAGAAAAAATAAACAAACAAATGGCACACTCCAAAACCCTTCCAAGCTCTTGCACTTTTGATATTAGAAAAAAATTATTTTCATAACGATGCGATGCGAAAAACTCAAAACTGGGTTTAGGTGCTCTTTGTTAGTTTTGTTTTGATCTGTTAGCGTACTCTAAGCATTGCAAACATCTTGGAGGGGGAGTAAATTAACTCCAAAGTGTTAGTCAGGTAACAGTAATGTATAAATCACTGGTTTGTGTCACAGGATGTACCTTATTTGGAGGTATCACTCCTTATTTGGAGTGAATTGCGATAACACAAAAGCTGTAAAATTACAGCCTATTAAAGAAAAGGAAGCTAATTTTGGTAGCAGCCTGTGCTGTGCAAACTGTTTGGGTTTGGTTGGTTTTTGTTTGTTTGTTTTATTTTCTGTTTTGGTTTTTGGTTTTGTTTTTTTGTTTCTCCAAACTTCATTATTTTTTCTATCTGGTTTGCCATGTTTACTTTTTGCTGTCACCATTTAGGCTCTTCTCATGCAAGTGGAAGACAACTAATTGACGTCACTGCCTAAACATTGCCTATAGTAGGAGGACGATCCAAGGAAAGGATCCTTGAAAGGATTAAGCCTTGCATTTTAGTGCCAAAGAACATCAGAAGTGTATCTGTTTCACTGCAACTGTTAGAGATGTATCAGCATCTTTGGAATCAAGTGATCATTTATGACATGGGTTTTTTTGGCAAGGGCTTATGGACAGTTCTTAAAACTCAGTGTGGTGAAAATGTAGTCTCCTTTAGGAAATAATGAATTGGAGATTTTGTGGAAAGACTTGAAACCAAGTATTTATTCTTTTATGAAAGTGTTGCTGCTTTTGTCTCTTAAGGATTCTGAAATCTGTTCTCTACATATTGGGGTTTTTCCTCATTTCAGAAAGAAGTTATGCTAAGGTGCACTGGGTGCTCTGTAGCTATCTACTGTGCTTTGTAATTGATCGCTGTTTGTTTCCAGGCAGAAATGTTACCATTGAGCATACCCCATCTAGGTCAAGATGGCAGGTTACAGGTTTGCTAGTATTATGGTATATCTTGGGTGTAGGCTGATTAAAATGTTTGAGGGTGGGAGGGCTTAATATTTAGTCTTCTAAAACAGATACCAAATTATGCAACTACATCTGTATGGCTTTTGCTTTCCGAAAAAGTAGCCATTTCATTAAATCAATCCTATAAAATAAAATGGAAGCTAGGGCAAAGGTAATGTTATAATTAGAATTAAGCTGCATTAATGATGCAATTACAGCCAGCCAAACAAATAATAGAGATGAGCCACCCTCTTGTCTGAGCTCCTGAAACTCATTTTTTAATGTTAGTATAACAAGCTGGTCTTAAAAAATGTATTTGGTTCCTCACTGATGACCTTTTTTCCAGAAGAATCCACAAGTATATTGCATCGCTGCTGTAAGAGGAAAGCGTGGAGATGAGTTTTCCACTTTATTTTGGTCTTTTTAAGGACATTATTTTGTTTTTAAATTCAAGCTTGCGTTAAAGCTTGGTGAAGGGGCATAATCTGACTTCAGCATTAGGATCACAGCCTTTTTTCAAAACTTTTTCTTCCTCAGCTGTTGCTTCTGAACTAGAGCATATATTGTATAGTTTCTCTTGATATACATTAAATGAAATAAGTTAATCTTATTGTTTAAATAGTTTATTTTTCTCCTAATTTCTTTAGGGTTCGCTTAAGTCCTGCAGCTCGCAACATTCTGGAGACGCATGGACTAGATCCAAGCAATATTACACCTTCTGGGCCTCGAGGAATCTTCACTAAAGAGTATGTAGATATTTCAGTAAAGCTACAACTTCATATACCCTTACTTCTTCCTTTGAACCTAGAGCAATCTCCATGAACTTGAAAAGTCCATTTATTTAAAAAGACAAGTTTTTGTTGCAGTTTTTTCTATGGGGGAATGGCTTAATTAAATCTGAAAAACCTGTTGAGAAGATATGGAGAATAAGTTAGGAAATATTGTAAGAAGCCTTTAATTAAAATAAAATCTTTTTGTGTTTATATCCCATCTGAGCTGCTTGGTACTGCCCTCACATTTCTTGCAGCTCAGCCTGATGGTGGCTATCAACTTCTAGGCATCACTGTTAGCTACCATTGTGGATCTCAAGAATTTTGCTATTCAGAGATGTATTCAGAGCCAAAATAAAATGCCAGCGGCCTTTTTTATTCAACTCCTTTTCTTAGGTGAGTTCAGATCTTTTGCTTCTTTCACTGAAGTTCAGTTATGAAGTCTGTCAGGATTTAATTTGTTCCCTTTTTTATTAGGCTGGGGAGAGCAATGAAGTGTAATGGTAAGAAATCCAGAGTTCTGTTTTTCTCCCATCTTTGGGTTTTTTCCCATCTTTGATTTAAAGAATGTTTGTTTACAAACCTGTGGTTTGTTATGATCAGGCTTCTAGTAGTTTAGTATACATTTTGAGTGTTCTGATGTAATGATTGGCACTCAAGCCTTGGAGTGAGGAACCTGTGTATAAAAACCTGTTGTGGTAGATCCAGAGCCCTTAGCCTTGAAATGGTGCATTATCTTCACATTAGCGTGTATGTTATTGGAGGATTGAGGATTTCGGCAGGAATACTTATTTTTGTTCTCAGTAAAATTATTGCTTTTGACAAATGCCATCATTCATCTACACAGACCTTGTTAGCTGCTGTAATTTTAGTTCCGTTCAAACACAACCAAGTCAGTGTAACTTGGAATTGAACCCAGAGAAGCAGTGGAAGTCTACCGTTTTTTCAGAACTCCTTTTCCTGTGGTATTTGGCTGAGTTGAGATAAAATAAGGAGTTGAATAAATATAATATACTATGTAACAGCAAATTATCAGAGATAGTTTTTTCTTAATTATGTAAGTGTAATGGTAATTTATGGTGTATTAGTAGGCTGTGGCAGGTGGAAACCCTCTAGGACTTTGAGCTACCTAATTAACATTCCCTAGTTGTCATGGAGACGTACCAAAGATATTTTTTTTTCCTGTAGCTATGAGAATTATCTAACAAATCTTCTGATTTTCAAAACTGCTTTCTTCCATATAAAAGATTTGACTTGGAAATGTCGCTTTAAGATACAGACTGTCTGGGATTTTTTTAACCATTCTTTTGAAATGGTGTTAATCTTTCAGATGCCTGTAGGCTCTGCTATTATGTTGTTGATTTTTGTAGAGAGCTCCTACAGATAGTCAGGGAAATATTTATTTTGCTAACTTGAGATTACTGTTAAAATACATGCCATGCTTTATAGCTGAGTGGCTCATGGTCTCTTTTCCAAGTAGACTAGCTATTGATTCATTGAGGGAGTGTTGCAGGTTCACTTTTCACTTTTAAACTCTGAGTTACCTTATTGAACAGGGCTCATGCTCACCAGATTACAACAAACAAAGAAAGATAGTGAGTACTGTAAGCGCGCAAGATTCTTTCCCCCCAACTTTCTATCTTTAAATTCAATTCACTGTAAAACTTTTAACAGCAATAGGAGCTTTCACTTAATAGCTTTCTCTGTCATAATCTCCTCCCTTAGTAGGCTGATACTTCATTTCTCTTATGTATCTGTGGAAGGCTGAATTACTGTTGTCTTCTTCCTGCTTGATTTTGTTTTATGGCATAGCAGGTTTTTTTAGTTTTAAGCAATATCCTCTGCTTTCTTCAGAAATATACTAGAAAATTGATGTGTCAGTACAAAGTAACTCACAACTGCCATCAAAGATTGCACCATGTTCCTAGTCATCAGCTCAGACACTGTGTTTGGAAGAGCTATGTTAAAATTGTTGGTTGTTTCAGTCTACTTCTGCCCTTTCTCATCCTATTTACTAGTGATCCAGGTATTTATAAATGCAACCATAACAAAAGTGGGGGGGCTAGTTACCAATAATAACTGTGTTTTTTTTCTGAGGCCATGTTCCTCCCATCTGTACCTTCCTACCAACTATCACTAAGTTAGTGTCATTTGGTATCTCAAAGCTGCTTAGGCATTCGCATTTTCGGCTTGCAAATAAGGCACAGCACGCAAATGTAGTGCTGGTTTTCCAGAGAGTCATTTCACATGACTTACCGTGTGATCTATGCTGTGTGCAATTTGTCAGCTGCCATTTTGGAGGGATGAGTTCCTTCTATAAAGCTGATAGTGCAGTAAGTCTGATACTCAGAAGTTTCTGATGTGTAACATTGTCTGCTCACCTTTTTCTTTCTTCCAGGAAATCTATGAATTGAGTAGTCAGATGTTCAGATGAAAGGGGATTGGGACAATTTAGTAATTGTAACTGCCACTAGAGGAAACTAGTGTCAATCTATGCACCTCCTGTTGCACCATGGGATCCTTAGTGATTTTTAGGTGTGTGTATAACCTCTAACTTATCCATTTCAAACAAAGGATATTTTGAGCACTAAATACTCAGTTTACTTTGGCCATTCTTTGGATTTTGGCTAACATGAAGTGGAAAGACTACACACTTCTGTAGTAGTGGTAAACTGAATTGTAATAGAGTTGCCACAATCTGCATACTTCTAATAATAACAGTTTTGTAAGGCATATTTTTGTTTAATGAATGTTTACCATGCTCTGGTATCTTTTCTGGGGAGCAGACTGCTCTCTTTCATGTTTGTTATCCCTCTGTCTCATCTTTCTGCATTACTATCCTGTGTTGATAGAGGTTTATAGAGTAGTTGGAAAGATGTGTCCAACCCTTCCTTTTCCAGTTCTAATAAAATGTCTATTTGCCAGTCTTGTACTGAAATCTGATTAATTTTATCTGCTTTGGTGTCTCCTCAAACTCTACTTATATGCAGGCTTGCAGTCTTGCACCTGTGACAGTCATAACATTGCTGTACCTATTTTTCTTAATCAGTTAAATCGTGTGGAATTGGTGGAAGGGAAATTATTTTTATACATATGTATAACAAATATTTATATAATATATATATAAATATACATATATAAAAATCATACTTCATGTATATTTCATATATATTTATATCTCATACTCATACATGAGTTTCTAAATCCTGAGTGAATCTTCTAATCTAATAACCTCAATTTTGTTAATACATATTTCAGTTAACACACTGAGTCACCAAAATTATTAAAGCATTTTGACTTGGCTATGATAGGTAGAACCATCTGGTTTTTGTCATTTGCATAATATATGGAAGTAATTTTAAAGCATTTCCTTAGCTTTAAAATATATAAGAAGCTATAAAAGCTTTATTTTATGTATTATGAGCAGATGGTCTGTCTTATGACTGCCAAGTTAAAACCCTTAAGTAATTTTTGGTAGCTTCTAATATGTTAACTAGAAACATTGCATTGTGTCATGCAGTGACTTTTTTGTCTCAAAATGTAATGCTAGGGGGTGATTTTCATTCAATGAAATCTATTTTTTTTTTTTCCCCGATATAGCAGTTATCTTAAATACTAAACACTTAATTTTATAACAGATTTTGGCTAACATGTTAATCCAGGAAAACAAGTAACAACTTTAATAATGACAAATTTACATCCTGAGCTCAGTCATTTATTTTTGTTTGCTATTAGTATCATTTGCTGAAGTATGTACTGAATCTAAAAATAAATTGAAGCAAGTCAACAATCAGTAAAAGGCATTATATAGAACATACAGAGCTTTTCAGTTTTCAGTTCTTGGTCCTGGAGTGCAACTTTGTTAGGAAGAACTAAGAATGCATAATGTTCTGAGACTTTGTCCTTTCTACGAAAATTTAACAACATGAACTACTGACTCTCACCCAAGAACAGACTCACTCAAGCAGTAATCTAATGAAATTAGATAGCTTTGTTGTTTAGTATTTATGGCTTATGTGTTGAAGCCATGGTATGGTTGTAAGTAGTCTGATTTTTACATTTTTAATTTCCTTTGCCAGTTTATGTAATAAAACTTTGTGTACATAAACCTTTGTGCACATGCTGTAGTGATGTCTTCATGAAGTGATAGAGATTTATCTAGGGTATATGATACAGACTTTTGTTGTCAGATCTGGAGCACAGCTCTTCTAAGAAGTCACTAGTATAGGTGCAACTGCAAAACAGAAATTTTACTATAGCTTATTTCCCTTTCAATTGGCAGTAGTAGCGTAAATGCAATCTTTTTTGTTTAGCTTCATAGGTGCTAATCTTTAGCATGTTGTTCTATAGATACAATGCACCTAGGGTAGAAGTAGTATTATATCGTAAAGACAGGAGTTTACGTATGTCTGTCATACTGTGCCCGCAAGAGGGAAGTTTTGTTGTGGTAGCTATATCGGTATAAAGACCCTGGGGATAATGCTTATAGAGCAGTCAAGGTTCAGCCACACCTGGGACTGTTAGATGTTACTCAGGTTTTCGCTTTTGTTCTTTCTTGTGGTGCTGTCTTTGAAATTGCTTATGAAGTATAGACTTGTATACTTTCTACACCTGCTTGTGCATATTTGTCAGAAAGGTACAGAAAAATGAATGATAAATGTACTATGTAAGCACTAATTAATTACATTAAATCCAAATGATTATAAATATAACATGAAACAGCTTTTATTTGAGACTTTATAGCCTGAGTAAGTGTACTCTGATGTTTAGAAGAATTGTTAGTGCAATTCACAAATTACCTTGTACACTCACAATTAGTGATGATGAATGTTATACTTCTCTAATACAAACTTTTTCTGTTACTGCATATTCAAGCCCTTTCATTCACAGACGTTAAAGAGACTTTACTAAAGATATCACAAAAGAAACATAAAATTCGTATCAGTTAATAATAATCACCTTCTTAATGTTTGGTTTGACAACAGAAATTTAAATGCACAGAAGTGACTAATTGTAATAGTAATACTTTGGGAATTTTCGAAATAGTTTCCTTGTCAGTATTTCACTGTGTTTAATCACCAGGGATGCTCTCAAACTCCTGCAAGAGAAGCAGAAGGGCAAACCCAGTGAATTGAAACCTGTGGTTTCTCCAGCTTCTCCCCAGCCTTCTGCTTCGGAAGCAACAGCTGTGACTTCTGCTTATCCAAGGCCAGCAGTTCCACCAGTTTCCACACTAGGACAACCTGCTGCACTGGTAATGTTTCTGTTAAGTCCCCAACCTTGCTACAGCTAAATATCAGTATGGCTACTTAAGTCACTATATGAGATTTCCAGAACTGGAGAGATGAAGGAAACTAAGGCTACCCAGATGCCAAGCCCAGTTGTGCAGTCTTTAGTATGTTTGTGTCATTCTAAAGCAGTGTAATTCAAACTGCAGAGCTTCAAAATTATGGTCTACAAACTACTTTGTGTAACTTGAAAACTGAAGCCATGAAAAAATTTACGCTGCAGGCCTTGGAAAGGGGAAAGTCAGAGAGGCAGCCGTTTTATTTCAGTCCCCAAACAAGAAGATGCCTCTAGTTTGGAAATCAACAATACACCCTTTTCCTCAATCCCTGCAGGACCAGTATGTCAGTGTGTATTTCCAGTCTCGGAAACTTGAATCCTGATTTTTTTTTTCTTTTACTGTACTTCATTCATTTGCTTTCCTGCAATATAAGTATATGTAAATGTCCACTGACGAGTTGTCAAGAAGCAAGGAAGAAAAGGGCTTAGTGGTTGCTTTGAAGAGTAATTTTGCAAACTCTAGCACCTAAATACAGTTTCTATGCTAATTTGAAATGTTAGAAATACCAGAAATTATTTTTTAAAGAATAAATGCCCATGCTGAAATGCACATGAGTAGAAATTGAAAAGCTTTTGTGAATAATGGTAGGAAAAACCTTTCTGGCTCTAAAAGTAAATGTGAAGTGTCTTTACAGGCTGAAGTTTACAATGAAGCTACAATTCATAATATCCAGAAAATGCTGCTTTTTTTTGCACTGTACAAAGAACCAAACAAAGCACAGAAAGCTCAAACTTTTTTCCATCACAGAAAAAAAAATGTTTCTGTGGTTGCACCAGAACATAAATATTGCAATTTGTTGTGTGTTGAGTACTACTCAGTATATAGTATATGCGATATAGATTAGGTATCTAAAATAATGTTCTACAGTATCACTTCTATTCTTGCTTTCTGTAGTCACTGATATTTCAAGAGATTCCTTGAAAGTTGACTTGGTTCTATGAAGAAGTTGGGAAAACTTCTGCATTGAAACATTACTAAATATATCTGGAAGGAGAGGGAAGAATAACAAAAAAGACATGCAGTAAAGCCTGTCTTAAGGAACCACTCAGGGAACTGAAAAAGCACTAGCTTACTGAGGAAATATTCTATTACAATTTAAATGCAACAAAACATATTCTGAGCAATATGCCAGGTCTGGCAGATGGAACAGTGCTTATATACTCTGGCTGAGAATTAATGCCTGAGTATTTGGAAATATTTTTTTAAGCAGTCTGCTAGAATAGTAGGATTAGTTCTATACTGTAAAGTGAAGTTATCTTTATTCTATAAAACATGTTGCGTTGATCCAAGTTAAGTGGAATAGATGAGAACACTCAATGGTCTTAATTTTAATTTCAGTAGTTGGAATATATCACTTTTTGATTATCCAGGGGATATTTGAAGTGAGCAGGAGTCACTGATGATACCGCATCAATGCTGGAGTCCTGTTTCAGCAAAGGGGAAGTATGTTTACTCTCTTGATATTTAATATGCAGCATATGATTTCTTTCAGGGCACATTCACAGAAATCCCAGCTAGCAACATCCGAAGAGTTATTGCTAAGAGATTAACAGAGTCTAAAACTACTATACCTCACGCATATGCTGCTACTGACTGTGACATTGATGCTATTTTGAAATTAAGAAAAGAAATGGCCAAAGGTTAGTGATTAAACTGATTTACTATAATGTGTGGTACTAATGCATAGTATGTCTTGCTTACATAATCTTGCCGAGGAGGTGTAGATTTTTGTATAGGCAGAACACTATGCATTCAAATAATCTTTTTCAGTATTCTGTATGTTGGACTCAAGCTGTAGTTCCCTGAGATTATTGAATTGGACAACTTATAAAGATATAGGAAGACAGAGGTGTTACTTTTCCAGCTAACACAACACTCTGTAGATGACTGCAGTTTAACATAGGACTATGCATTGTCTAGTAGGTTTTTGTTTCTTTCTGTCCAGATGCAGCAATTTTTAGCTTCTTGATGGTTAAAATCTCGAATTATTCATGTGAAAGATAATAGGGGAAGCTTCAAATTAAAATACACTCATGCTCTGTCCTTCTACGTACAATGTTAAAGTTTAGTTTTGCTGGCCTCTTTCTTGAATTTACTGGAAAAGGAAAGCTAATGCAGCCTCTCAAATTCTGAGTGAAAATGGCTTTATCCATGGTGAGGAAAGAAAGCAAGATTTTATCACATGCCAGCCAATGCATGGTAAATGCTTCTTGAAGGCAAAGTAATGGTGTTAATGTGAAGGAGGCAGGGTTATCTCTTTCACTCGAATTTATATATATGCTTAAAACTATGTTAAGCTGTTGGAATAGAAATCTGTCCCACAGAAAACTGGATAATTTTTAAATATACATTGAGAATTGGATTAAAAGCCATGAATTTCAATATATATGTATGTGTAAATCCCAATTTTCATAATGTGTCCACTGTGTCTTATTTATACAGAAATGTTTTTGTATAAGATTAATAAATTAAATTTTCCCTTTTTGTCTCAACTTGTATTCAGTGAAGTGACTTATTTAGAAAAAGTTATTGAAGTTAAAGGTCATAATCAAAGATTGCTTTGTTTTTGCTGAAACTGTTTTTGTTTTTGCTAAAACCAGCTGAGTGTACTGGGCAATAGGATGTTTTAATAGTTTCAAAATTAACTATGCAGACTAGAATCTTCTTTCCCAAATCTTAGTTCAACAAGGTATATATGACATGCATTTTAAAAAACAAGAGGATTTTTCAGTAGAGCTCTATTCAGGCAGGTACTTAATTTTCATGCAAAATATCACAAAAGTGTTGTTTGCTTAGTGCCTGTTTGTTTAAGGACTTCTACTTAGTTGGGTAAAAAACCTGAATGAAATTTTTTATTGCTTTAACATCATAATCTTCTTCATTTAAATAAACATTATTATATTTGGAACTATTTGGTCAATATACTGATTTTAATGTTGTCTACAGGAAGTTGCTTCAATTTTATAGTTCATGAAGGCATTAAACCAAAACCTGTGGAAACTCTTTAGGAAAGCATTGTTTTACATTAGGTCAGTTCTTGCAATTGCCTGCAGTTACTAGCGCTTTTCATTTTTCTTTTTTTTTTTTTTTTTCTATTTTGGTAGCTGGTTTAATTTTTTTTAAAGAGG